TGGTGTTGGAGAAGACTCTTGAGAGTCCCTTGGACTGCAGGGAGATCCAACCAGTCCATCCTAAAGGAGATCAGTCCTGGGTGTTCATTGGAAGGACTGATGCTGAAGCTGAAACTCCAATACTTTGGCCACCTGATGTGAAGAGTTGACTCATTGGAAAAGACCCTGTTGCTGGGAGGGATTGGGGGCAGGAGGAGAAGGGGACGACAGAGGATGAGATGGCTGGATGGCATCACCGACTCTATGGACATGTGTTTGAGTAAACTCTGGGAGTTGGTGATGGACAGGGAGGCCTGGTGTGCTGAGATTCATGGGGTCGTGAAGAACTGGACACAACTGAGCAACTGAACTGAAGTGAGTGTGAGCTTGAGCTGCTCAACCACAGAGTCTCCTAATTCATGAAAGGAACTCCTCGTATTCCATGCTTCTCTTCCTTTCCTCCATCTGACCGGAGTGGTACAATCTGTTGGGCTTCACAATCAATTTGTCATAAGGTTTATCATAACCTGTGAAAATCAGTTGCCATTTTGGATTCAAATACATGGAGAACTAGATGCATTTTAAAACTTCAAGAGATTATCTTTGGACCTTAATCTAGAAAGAAAAATAAATGCACAGATTGACAAAAAAGAATTAGTCTAATTATTAAGATTCTGTGGCTTCCAATGCCAGTTTATTAAGTTACATCTATTAAATACTTTAACATGTACAACATATCATTCACAGTGATTGAATACATACAGTAGTGCCAGAAGACATGGGATTAGTTAACATATCCAACAGCATACAATATGCAGTTTACCTTGGGTTTATGATGTTTTAACATAAAACATAAAATCAATCAAAGCACATGGGGCTTATCATTAAAACCAGATAAATACCTACATTTGTTAAATCTTTTCACCCCTGAAACAAAAGGGGGGAGATTACATATTTCATGACTTTACAAATAAAGTCATCTGATGAAGTCCCGCTTCTTTAGTTACTCAACGTCATTTGTCTCCTTCCACCTGAACACACGACGTGAGAGTGGGACTCGCCCTTCATATTCTCTGTTGTCTTGACTCTCCAGCATCTAGGTAAGTGCTGTCATGTGACAGATGCTCCAGAAAGTAACTGAGTCCTGGATGACATGGAAAGATTACTAGTCTGGGTGTCAGGAGATATGCCTTCTAGCCTCACACTGCTACTTGTTACTGCCTGGCATTGGGCCATTCACATCACCTTTCTGAGGCTGGGTTCCTCCATCCTTAAAATGATATAACTTGGAGCAAACAAACACTGCAGTTCTCTAACATCCCATGACATGCTCTGTTGGTCACGCTGTCCGAGTCACTTGTGTTGAACAGTCTCTGAGAAAGTAGGAAATGGCAACCACTTCTAAGCTAGAAGCCCTGAACCCTTGACAAGGCCTTCCAGGTTCTCAATAATCAAATAGAACACCCATAAATCAATTTAAAAATGTCCACAAAGATTTGGAAAAGACCTCAGAAATCCTTTGACTCAGTTCTTCTCACCTCAGTGAAGGAATGGTTTCTACAAAAGCCTTAAGATGAGTCCTTCACTTGAATATCTTCTGGGACTAAACAATCACTATCTGGGAACATTCTATTCAGGGATCGAAAGTTTATTTGGATATCAAGGCAGACATGGTGACCCTGTAACTTCAACTTCTTAGCCCTAGTTCTTTCCTCTAGGGAAATAAGAAAGAAATCTCTTCCCCTTTCTACATCACCCCATTGATACTTGATATTTCTCCTGTCTTCCTCTAATTTCTCCTCCAGTTATTAAGAGGAATACTATTAATAAGAGCAGAGGGTAATTGGTGAGCCTAGGATTATGATTCAGGAAGCTAGTATCCCAGCTCTAGATCTGCCATTAGCTCATTGTGTGGTCCTGAATAAGTTCCGAATGGGCTGGTATGGTACTTTTTTCTTAAAATGGGATGATGGAGGAAGGCATGGCAGGGGGCAAATGTGTATCAGAGCTTGGAAAGTTGTAAATGTGGTTGTAAGAGTGGGGCAGGGCATAGATGTGACTATTCTGACCCTCACTCTCTCACTGTTGGAGCAAAAGCATTCAGGGGTTAATAGTCCACTGAATTCTTTCCAAGCCCAGCTGCCAACAGGATGCAATAGCTCTTAATATCCAGGATAGTGGTGCATCCTTTAAAAAATTTCTAAAAATGGCAGAATACTTCCAGGGTTCTGGGTCCTGGGAGAGCAAGAAATCTTGAGGCAAGTGACTTCTGCATGTGTTTTGCAAGGTGCAGCATATAAACAGTCCTGTCCTAAAGAATTCATCCCCAACGTCACAATCATGAAAATACGACTGGGAAAGGACTTGGGAAAATACCTTGCCAGAGAAACTTGGCAACAAACATGCCTTGTGCAGTGAGCTAGTTGAACTTTTACAGTCCAGAGGGGTTACTGACCATCACAGGGGTGGCGTTTCCTCTGGGGTGGCGTAGCTTTGATTGAAGTGGAGCCCAGGGCTCAGGCATGCCCTGTTACTGAACTGAACCAGACACTTTTCAGGATGTGAAAGTGGACCTTTTCATGTCCTGCTGTACCTTAGCCAAACAATTTAGGAAGTTTAGTAGCTTAAGCAATTTTGTTCTGCCAAATAGATATAAACCAGGGTCAAAATGCCAGTGACCTCATGCATTTTGATCATGGTTCCTGTACTGGCTGAGAAACACAGGCTTTTCAAAATATCTGAGTTATCCTTAAAGTTATAATAGTGTCATTGGTGTTGATGAATCATCTTCTCTAGTCCAGGAAATAATAAAAACCTTTTTCTATATGTGGTTTAGCTAGTGGACTTTACCATAGAAAGTATCTTTGTTTTCTCCCCTTTTATTTATGGAGAACTGTCCTTGAATAGCTATTTTAAAAACCACTTAGAGTAAGCACAAGTCATTTTGTTAATGATTATCCTTCATCAAACGGCACCCATTTTCATAATGAGAAAATACCCACATGCCTAAAGCTAGCAAATTAATTAGCTAATAAAACCAAAATAAATTAAAAGATCTACAGACAATGGAGGCACTAAGCAGTTAGAATGAACACATCTAAAGAGAAAATAATTTATCTTTGTATCCCCAGGGCAAGTAGGTACTCAGTAAATGTTTGTGGAACTGATTTGAGTTCAGCCTTCTCAGAGACTTAGAACCAGTAAAACGTTTTCTCCCTAAATTAACTATTTTCCAAAGTGTGTAAACATGTTCCTTTTCCCCTTCTAAATCTTTGAATGCACCCCGTTTACTCATAATAATGCCAAGGAAACAGAAGTTCTGACTTGAGTCTCACTAGCAATGTTTGGCCTACTTAAACAGTAAAAGGAAAATCAAAGAGGATTTAACAAATTCAGCATTAACAAAGAAGTTAACATTTCATTTCAGCAATGAAAACTTAAGCAAAATACAATTTTTAATAATCAAGAGTGAAAGAAATATGTGGTGGGGATTTTTCCAAAGCCTCAAGTCTTTTAGGAGAGTAGGAAATTCCTATTTTTCGGATAAACTTCCAAATTCATCAGATTCCCTGTGGAACAGAGGGCAGGTTTGAAGGCCCTTGGTAAGGGGTTCTTTTCAGAGGAGGGGAAAGTGAGCAGGCCACTCTGGGCACCTCTGTGAAAATCCTTTTCCACATCCCAGGTTGCTTAGTGCTCACATGCAGATGCAGACAGAGCATTTTATTTCCTTAACAGGATGTTAGTTGTGATCTGGAGCCAGGCTGGAGTCATTGATTAAAAACATTCCTGAATTGCAAATAGCTATTGTTCTAGGAGTTGGTGGAGGGAACATTCTGTTATCAAGCTGGTTTTGTAGTTACTGAGAAACCTTTCCTTTTTGCTTTAAGTAAAGGGTAATTCCTCTGACTGAGATGCCCTTTCCCCAGGCCATCCGCTGCCCGCCCACCTCCGTTCAGGACTCAAGCTTCACTTCCCTTGTGAAGACACTTCTGAACCAGGTGGGAGGGACCCCGCCCCGCTCTCTGCTCCTGCTGAGCCCCTTGCTGACTGTTCATAGAGAAACTGAGGGCTTCAGAGCCTTAACCTCCCAACTAAGAAATTAGAAATTAGTTTTTATTTACTTAGAGCTCAACAAGTGTTGATCAAGTACTGCTGCACCAGTCATCGTGTTCAGGAACCCCGTCATACACGTCTCTGCCTCTGCGGTAACAAGAGTAAGAGTGAAGTGAAGTGAAAGTTGCTCAGTTGTTTCTGACTCTTTGTGACCCCATGGAATAGTCCATGGAATAGTCCATGGAATTCTCCAGGCCAGAACACTGGAGTGGGTAGCCGTTCCCTTCTCCAAGGGATATTACCAATCCACGGTTCAAACCCAGATCTCCTGCATTGCAGGCGGATTCTTGATCAGCTTAGCCACCAGGGAAGCCCAAGTTAAAAGTGATGTCATTGCCAAGTTTGCTTTCAGACCCATCTGTGAGGTCTCTCACAATAGGGAATATCTATAACAAAGGCCAAGGTGTTGGAGACCACTCCCCAAGTCACACTGACACACTCATGGACTTCACAGAATGTTCAAAGCTAACCTGTTTGATCTCCATGAGCTCATTTGATCCTGGGAAACAAGTCGGTGGATTCCTTCTTTACAGGCAAATCAACAGAGGCTAAGAGAACAAGAATGTCCCTCCAACCTTTGACATATGAGTGCAGGAAAATCATACAGATTTGAGGATCACAGAGGATATGAACTCATAGAAGCACAGGAAGGACCTTCTCAGTGTTCTGCCTCTTCTTCAGGAAAGACGCCTTGGCTGGGCTGATGAGCCAATTCCACATTTAAATCCCTTTGAATATTTTCAAAGTACCCATATAACACTCTGCATATAAAGTGAGTCAAACCTCAAAGCAGATCTCAGTTAACATCTCCAGATTTGGTGATTGGCCTTTTCCCTCCAGGGACTAAGTCCATGGGATCAGTCAACTTTGTTATATGGTTGGTCTGTTTGCTAGAACTCTTGTCTTCAAGTTTCTTGACTGGCCTAACCAGCTGGTTGTCTTACATAGCGAGGAGAGCTCCAGAAATCTCGTTTAACAGTATCCGGTGATACTTGTTAGGAGTTGGAATTAGACCTTGAAATATGTTGAGTGGTATTTGACCAGCAGCCAGGAATTCATCTACATTTGGGTAGAATCTGCCTCGTTCTTCACAGCATGTTTTGGTTCAGCACACACATAAAAGGTGCTCAAGAACACTGTGCTGAATAGGTGCTGTTGTGTTTTTAATATGCATGTGGAACTCACAGTTGCTTGTTTTGATGCATGTGTACATAATAAAGAGAAAGGTAGTTTTTTTCACTTGGCATAGATGGCTTGAATGTTAATTCCTTTTCTTGAGGCACATTTATAAGAAATATCAGTTCTTTTTTCATTTTTTTTTTTTTTTTTCTGTAAGGCATTAAAGTATGTTTGGGGGAACTGATGGAGGATTTTGCCTCAGAAGTGTTTGGACTGTTTCTGAGGCTTTGGATTTTGTTTTTAAGTTTCCTGAACTGAAGCAAATGCTGCATAATAAAATTGAACAGTACCTGTGCCCTCTCTTGACAAATGCCATAGGAGCCAGGCACGGAAATGTTCCATTCATTTGGTGATCAGTGTTTTAATGTTTAGAAGCTCACAGCTCTTCCAAGCAGCTGTGATAATAGGTCTGCTCTCTTCTGCCTTTTTCTGATTAGTATTGTCATCAGTCAGGTACATAAAGCATGAATTTTTGCCCCTAAATTTCTTAACTGCTGTCTCTATCAATGCTCCAACAAAGCCTCCTGGTTATAATTACGAGTGAGGAAAATTAGGACCTAAGAAGCCGAGGACCTCCATGCAATGACATCTGCCTTACCACTATAGCAGGAAGGCTCCGAAGAAGGTTTTATCTTCTTTTGTGTAATCCACCAAAGAGATATCGCTGACATTCACCATCAGCTTGTCCCCTTCATTCAAGGAGAACATGGCCCCTAGGTAGATGGGTTGGAACCAGTTGCTGCCTATTTCACACACTGACTTGGTCCCCATTAGGAGCTGAGTTGGTTCGGGGTAGCTGTCTGTTACCTTGGTGATGACCACAATGATGGAGTCTGGCTTGTTTGGTCTCCTCCCTTGGCTGATTTCACCACACTCAGATGTGGTCCCTCGGAATGTCACCTGGGAGTAAACAAAGTAGTCTCCCGACTCTGGGATCACCAGGAATTTGTTGGTGTAATTCATCCGGTTCTTGGTGAAGGCCAAGCCAAGTTCATGTTCCCAGTGCAGAGCTGGAAACTGATTTTTCAAGGGCTGCATGGGAGTCTGTCTCACAACTGCAAAGACAAGAGGATGGTTTCATTGCTTGTGTCAGGACCTAAGGAATTTGCTAAAAAGAATCGAACATCATTTTCAAAGAATAAAGAGATGGGATAAAACCAACAGCCAACAGTCTCCTTGAGAAGGAATGAGTAGAGGATGTGTTAATGGACGTACACATCTGTTCAGAGAGTAGCATCTTAGGCAGGTGACCTCAAGCAAATCACTTTGCCTCTCTGGACTTGAGTTTTCCTGTTAGATAATTTTGAATTTTTTCTGAGCCCTCTGATCTTGGAAACCAATGAAGATTAAAAAAAATCTCCTACCCTCCTTGTTCCAGGCACCTGAAATTCTGTCCACCCTCAACCTGGTCCTCAACCTGAGCCAGCCTCCTGAAAATATGCTGGCCACAGGATAAAGCATTCACTGAGCTAATCAAGTCAACCTTCCGTCTCACTTCTCCATACACGGTTCTTTTTAGCTGTGTGTACTCCCCTCTATAAAAGGAAAACCCTCCACCTAACTCTTGAGACACTTGCAGACTTTATGGTCAGAGGTCCTTCCATTTGCAATAGTCTCTTCCCTCCTCTACTTCCCCACTTTGCAATAATCCTGTTGCGTAAAGTATTTATTAAAGAGGATTTGTTTTTTGATGTATTTTTCCTTAAAAACAACAAAAGAACAACAACATTTAAAAAAAAAAAGGAAAAGGAGATAATACCAATGGAAAGGATTAAGAGATGATGTGTGAGGAACATCCTCTAAATTACATTTACTTTTACTAGACTTTTGGTTTTGGAAATGCTCTGCTACTGAGAGAGATGTCAGAGAGAGACATGTTCCTTATCACTCCCTTCCAATGCCTATTCCAAAGCCACATGAAACACAGGAAGTAATTAATAAACAATTAGCATGCAGAACACCAGAGATCCAAAAGATTTTTCAAATGCTTCTCCCACATCAAAAGGGCCAAAATGTAAGCCAAAATACCACAGACTTGAGGAGTGAAAGAGACCAGGACTCTGGACCACCCAGGCCCTGTTCTAATCCTGACTCTGTAACATGGAGGCTCTTCTCTCTGAAACTTAGTCTCCTGTCTGTGAACTGGAGACAAAGCTCTCTCATAGTCTTGTTCTAAAGAGCAGATGAATGGAAGAGACGTGGACATTTTTATCATGATGGCTGGATACAGTGTTACTTCTATATATATTTATTCTCTTTCCCCAAATAAGCTAACACCTTTCATTTTGACAGATTAAAAAATAAACCTTTTTCATTTTATATGTACTTTATATGTTTTTATGTTTACATTATTTAAAATGGTGGCTCAGACAGTAAAGCATCTGCCTGCAATTCAGAAGACCTGGGTTTGATCCCTGGGTCGGGAGGATGTCCTGGAGAAGGGAATGGCTACCCACTCCACCCAGCATTCTTGCCTGGAGAATTCTATGGACAAAGGAGCCTGGTGGGCTACAATCCATAGACTTGCAAGGACTTGGACACAACTGAGCAACTAACATTTTCATTTTCACATACATTACATAGAACATATGAATGAATGCTTTTTTGAGGTTTTGTCTATAGCAGAAAAAAAATGAATAGAATCAAACCATTGATTCAAACCGTTGATTTCAAATAAGATAACCTGCAATAAAACTGGTACTTTTCAGAAAAAATAAAAACACATTTTAATACCCTGCTGCTACTGCTGCTGCTAAGTTGCTTCAGTCGTGTCTGACTCTGTGCGACCCCATAGACGGCAGCCCACCAGGCTTCCCCGTCCCTGGGGTTCTCCAGGCAAGAACACTGGAGTGGGTTGCCATTTTAATGCCCTACAACTGCTTTTGAAATCCGTAGCAATAACTGTTATGTACTGTTGGCCACGGTTTGGGGATAGGTTATATCTAAAGAAGTGTTCAGCAAACTTCTCACCTGGTAAGTGACCAAAACCTGGTTCCCGGCTTTTCTAAAGTGTCTTTCCCATTGCTGATGAGACTGTGACTTCTTTTGGGATTCTGACACACATTTAGAGTGTGTGTGGGCTTTCCTGGCCCCGGCACTGAGTGGTCCCTGGAGAGCTCTGCTGTTTCTCTGCAAACCCTGTTTGGGTTTGACCCTGTTACCAGTCACCCCTGAGAGCCTCCACTCCTTCTTTGTGGGTGAGGCAATAGATTTTAAAAAAGTCATCTCCTGGAACATCCCTGGCAGTCCAGTGGTCAAGACACCACGTTTCTGCTTCAGGGGACATGGGTTCCATTCCTGGTCAGGGAATTAAGATCCCGTATGCTGAGTGCAGTCAAAAATTAGGGGAAAAAAAAAAACCCAAAATAACAAAACTTAATTTCAGATGAACAGAAGGAAAAGCATTTATTTTCCAGACAAAATCAGTTCTGTTAAATTGGTATGCAATTAGCTAGGTCAACACAGCAGCAAGCAGGTTTTTGAGTAGCAAGTATGTTGTAGCGGAAATAGTTAATCAGTGTCAAATCTCAACTCTTCCTCGTCCTGTGACTTGGGAAAGTGAATTTAGTTGTCCGAGCCTCAGTTTCCCCATCTTATTGGGCTAATGTGCAGATGGAAAGAGATCGTGAATGTAAAATGTCTACCGTGGTGTTTCGTTTTTGAAAGTGTTAGTTGCTCAGTTGTGTCTGACTCTCTGAGACCCCGTGGACTGTGGCTCGCCTAGCTCCTCTGTTCATGGAGTTCTCCACGCAAGAATACTCGAGTGGGTTGCCATTCACTTCTCCAGGGAATCTTCCTGACCCAGGGACTGAACCCAGGTCTCCTGCATCGCAGGCAGGTTTCTTACCACCTGAGCTACCAGGGAAGACAGCGGTGCTTGAGACATGAGAAGCTCGGGAAAACTGGGCTAGATGCCCATCCCCATTTCCATTCCCCCCATTCACCAGGAAAAGGAGTGGCATCTCCATACTCAGTTTCTGGGGTTTTCCTGCCCAGCCTGTTCAGCATTTCCCACTCTCATAGGTAAGCGGTGAGTGACAGCAACTGACATCCCCCTGGTCCTCATCTTCACTTAGGACTCAGGCACATGTGGACCCCAGGGATATCCCTTTGTGGGTTGCAGACTTTGTTATAGGTCAGAAGAATATGCTTCTTTTAACTCTCTAGTATTTCAGTGGGCTTTTAACACATCCTTCTGCATTGTCTTGCTCGCGTCTCTGGAGTCTTAGAAGTTTGTGTGACTCCAGACACAAGGTGTCACGAATGTCGACAGTAAACCTGGGACTCTGACTAACTGGTGATGCTAAGACATTGCTCTTAATCTTTTCACATCAATGACAATTCTTTAGAAATACCTAGCTGAATGTAAATGTCCAATAACTTCATCTTGAATAGAGCACAGATGGACTCAATAAATTGGCAACTCAGGGGAGCATTCATCTTTGACTAGATTTATAATTATGTGACTCTCTGAATCTGAGGAAAGTCATTTCTGAATGACCAAGTGTGAGAATGAGGGGAGAAATGATAGAGAAGGAGGCGAGCTGATAGAATCTGAAAGAAAATGCCCAAGAAACAAAGGGGCTTTGGACCCTTCAGGGGAGGAAGAGATCTGAGAACCCTTGACTGGGAGGAGTCTTGTTACCAAGGAGTGTGGTTTCCAGTTTACAGCTACATGCTTCAGTTTTGGCAAATGCTGAAAGAAATCTCAGGCCCTTGGCCCATAGTCTCTTCAAACACACAGTCAGAAGAATTACCTGTCAGGTGCGCCCTTGGCTTCTCCCTATCAGCTCCAGGAGGTGCGTCTGTGAGGAAAGGAGAGAGATGCTTGTATGAGTGGGAGGGTGACTGAAGTTGAATTTGGGGAGTTGCATGGTGCCTGCAACCGGAGAGAAACAGTCTTCTCCTCCCGTTTGGCTCAGGGTGGTTTTTTTTTCCCCCCAGGGGCAGGGCAGCCTCAGAAGAAATAATCGAACACAAATGAACCTTGACTCCATGACTTTGGCCAAGTTATCCAATCTGAAACTCTGTTTTCTCATATCTAAGGTGGGCACATCAATTCCTGCCATGGATGATGAGTGCTCAAAATGATTCCTGGCACATGGCTGGTGTTCAGCAAAGCTCATCTTGCCTTTCCTTTGCTTCTGTCAGTTCTGTGGGAGCTGATTGGCCTTCCTCATTGTCCCTTCAACTGTATCCTCTGAGCCATCTGAACGTTCTAACAAAACTAGTTGGGGACTGCTCTGTAGCTATGTGACCTTGGCAAATCCCCTTGCCTCTCTGGACCTCTGTTTCCCTGTCAGTTCTCAGAGATGATTATGTTGGATAAGTGTGTTCTAACTGTAGTAATAAAGATGATGTTATTGATGATAAAAGGAAAGATTATTGTATACATTTGATGTGCTAGGTATTGCAAAAATACCTTTCCAGGAATTAACTGAATCCACACTAACTTTGGGAGGTTGGTAGTATTATCACCATTTTTATAGGTGAGTAAACTGAGGCTGAGGAAGGTGAAATTATTTGTTTAAAGACTGTCAACTCCACAGGTCATACACTTGACCACGGCACCATTCTACCTTCCTAGTGACTGAGGAGGAGCCTCGCTTTTCCTCTGAGTCTGCATCTGAACTTCCCACGTATCAGAACCGCAAGAAACCCACAAGAAAAGGCATAAAATATGAACACACTTACAAGCTCGCTGATGTGAAGGTCCAGTCTCCTGCTCTTTTGGAGTCTGTTGGAAAGAAAGACATGATTCAGGTCATCTGTGGTCCTTTTGACCCACTGCCCGTGTCACGAGCACAGTGAAGATGCTGCTGCTACCCAGCCTTGGTGTGCAGAGATAAGGGGAGTGGGCATGAGAACACTGGGTTGATGGAAGTCTTGCACCCAAGCTCTCTCCCTTCCTCTTCCTGCACCCAGTGGCCTTTCTCTCTCTGAGGCTTGTCTCTGAAGCTCAGCTTTAAAATGTTGTCCTGAGAGCTTTTCCTGCTCCATACTAGGGCACTCTGACATCTTATCGTTGCTTCTATTATTTGAACAAATAGCCACACTTGCTTTATTTTCTTTTCTTCAGCACAATTTAAAAATTGGAACTAATGCCAAAAATGAGACTGAAAAAGAAGTGACTATACTCTCTTTATCATCATCACCCTCCACAATTCTGCCTTATTGCTTTGTAATATATGAAGACTTTTTCATTCTTGCAACCCTAGTTTGTGAGCCATTTCAGATACCAAAGGGTAGTTGAAGAGTAACTGCTTTGGGGGGTAGACAGACTGGATTTGAATCCTGGTTTCACCATTTATTAACAGTATAATCTTGAGCAGGATACTTCTACTCCGAGCTTTGGCGTTTTCATTTGAAAAATGGGAATAATAACATCCCCAACAACAGGTAAAATGTATGAGTCAGCGCAGAGAAGGCCTAGGAAATGAAGAGCCACCACTCGTAAGACCTGCATACGAACAAGCAAAACTACCTTCTTAGCCTAGGAATAAGACCACTGTCTTACATTACCCAGTGTTCTCTTCTCTGCTACAGTTTTGACTCAACTCAGAGTCTTCTGATTTGGTTCTTGTAACTGCATAGTCCACGTGACCACTGATCATAGCGTCACCATGAACACTTGATTAATTCTGCATTTTAAAATCTGTGTGTGTATGTGTGTGTGTGCTTGTGAATGAGAAACTGTGTGAGTAAGAAGACAATTTGCTCAGCGGGAGAGGGTGTAAGTCAATGTGTTTTTGCATCTGTGTGTCTGCACATGTTGTATGTACCTATTCTCTGCACATGCGTATGTGCTCTTATGGATGTAACTGTGTTGTCGGTGGGTCTAGGTCTGAGCAGTTCTGTGATAACAGTGATTTTGTTAGAGACCAGACCACCAGTCTTGTGTTACTCCAAAGACACGTTGCCTAACTTCTACTAGAACCGCCCCCGCCCCGAATTGTCTAATGACTTTCTCCCTTTCCAGCACCCTTTCCTCCACTTCCTACTTCTGTTGATGGCACCGCTACTGCTTCTCTTCAGTTACCAAGCCTCAAATTTGCTTCTTTGTTCTTCCACGAACCCAAGTGTTCTTTTATTTTGAAAATTTTGTCATTCATGCCTCCACTCCAGGTTTCAGCACACTGCTCTCCTGGATCCTTCCCACAGCCTTCTAACAGGTCTTCCTCCACCTGGTTCCTTCTTTTCTTGAACTCGTCTCTTAACTTGCCTTAAGGGCTTTTTCTAAAGCATCACTTTGAGACACAACTCTGTTCCTAAGCCTTGAGTGCCCCCTATAAACTTTCAGACAGCGCTAAATACTTAGGTTGGAATTAAAGTCCCAGCTGCCGTCCCAGTCTTGTTATCCTCTGTTTCTCTCTCTCCATGTTCTCTTTGGCTTCCAGGGCAGCTCAGCAGAGAAGACTCTGCCTGCAGTGCAGGAGACATGTGAGACCCAGGTTCGACCCCTGCGTCAGGAAGGTCCCCTGGAGGAGGGCATGGAAACCCCTCCACTGTTCTTGCCTGGAGATACCATGGACAGAGGAGCCTGGGGGGCTACAGTCCCTGGGGTCGCAGAGTCGGACACGACTGAAGTAATGGAGTGAGAGCAGCAGCAAATTCTCTCTACTCTCGTCATGAGAGGTAATGCAGTGAATGATTCCAGAGCCCTGGAGAAGGCAGGAAATGCAGCCTTAGTTACTCACTGAGTGCTGGCACTGTGCTGTGCTAAGCTGTTTATATGTGTTACCTCCTTCCTGCTGGCGCCGAGTCTGAAGTGGGTGCTGTTTATATCCTCGTATTGAAAATTAGGCCTAGGGTCACCAAGAAAGTTGCCCAGTGTCTTATATCTGGAAAGTGGAGGAGCAGGGCTTTAGCCGAGGCCAGCTGACTGCAGAATCCTAAGTCCTCAGCCATTATTCCTTCTAACCTCTGGGCAAGTTCCTCATCTGCTGAGGTGGATGGATAAGTGCTAGAGGTTCCATGCACTGTGGCAGTGGGGGAAACACAGAGTCCAGAAAATAGGAACTTGGCCCAGAAGTGGGGGAATCAGGGGGAATTACCCTTGACCTGAGTCTTACAGGTATTAGCCGGGTAATAAAGATAATGACCATTTTAGACAAGGCCAGAAGCTTGTGCAAGAGTGAAGAGGCTCAACGGAGCATAGGAGCAGTTGGGAAACTGGGGTTTCTGCTGCCAGATGAACACATTATGTGCTTTTAGCATAGCGTCATGAGCACAATCATCTTTGAACACTTAAACCCAATCAACATGATGACTTATCCAGCATGAATAACTTTGATGAGCTTGGGAGCTAGGGAAGCAGCCTAGAAATGAGCTTGCTCTGTAGCCTGCTTCCTTACTTGTTATTGACAGAGCTGATAAAGGACTTGATCCTTTGCAAGGTAGAAAACTGAAGGTGAGTTTTCAGAGAGAACTGGGTAGCCTGGTTGCATCCCCTGGTGTAGGAAATGGTACCTTCCCTGGTTGGCCTCCTACTTCATTTAGTTCTCCGCTGAGAGATCTTTGTGAACATCCTGCTTATTTTTGTCTAAGCAGACTCTCAGCTAAGAGTCTGGAGCATTTCTTTTGGCTCAGAGTCCAATTGTCTTCAGCATGAATTTGGGAGTGAACATATTTTCCTATTTGCTCTGTTGGATTTCTGTATGTTGAGCACACATTTTATTTTCATATATGGATGGATGTGCGTGGGCTTGAAGTGGCCCACCCAGCACACTGCCAAACATCTGGAGGCTGTGACAGTGCCTGCCAGTTGGCAGGTTTGAAGAACAAAGCATTCTAAGAATCTCCAAGAAGAACATCAGCTGGGACTCTCTTTCCAAGAACAGCATCTAAGGCCTTCCATTGCTAGTCCTCTCTCTTTCTTTTTTATCTGGTTTTGTCTCTGGCTGTACTGAGTCTCCGGTGCTGCAGGCAGGCTTTCTCCAGCTGTGGCAGGCGGGGCTTCTCTGTGCTGTGGCAAAAGCGGGGCTTCTCACTGCGGGGCTGCTCTTGCTGAGGAGCAGCGGCTCTAGGGCACACGGCTCAGTCGTTGCAGCTCACGGGCTCTAGAGCGCATGCTCAGTGGTTGTGGCCCATGGACTTAGCTGCTCCCGTGACATGTGGAGTCTTCCTGCATCAGGGATTGAACCCGTGACCCTGGTATTGGCAGGAGGATTCTTACGCACAGTAACGCCAGGAAAGTCCACTTTTTCTCTTAACAATCACTGTCTCATGGAAGGAAGATGACTATAATGAGAAGCAGGAATGAATAAACAGGAGATTTGAGAGGATGAAGCAGAACATTTTCAAGGCAAGGTTTATGCACGTGTCCTGGCTCAATGCCTGCTGCTCTCAAGGTGGTTGCTTAGGAAAAAATGTCAGTAAGTGGCTAACTGTCTTCCAACCCTGACTCCTCTTTATCACTTCTGGTTATTCTGGGGTACCAAGGAGATGATGACTCTGGAGAAATGTGGGTTACTGCAACATTAGCTCACATATCAGAATAGATGCAGAATCCAAGAGCACCCCTGAGAAATATGATTTATCTATTTCCCATTAAATGCCTTCTCAAATCACTGGCTGAGAACAAGGACCCAAGTTTTATTTCCCCTTAAGAGCATTTATCACTCCCTCAAGTGCTGTTGCTTATTTGTGGGTTTATTGCTTTTCTCTCTCTAGCAAGACTTGGGCTGGTTTGCTCACCCCCACATTCCTAGCACCTCAGACAGTGCCTGGCTCTCCCACTGGATTACCCAACTGATGCTCAGGCACCGGAATGACAGGCAGAAGAGAGAGCAGAAGATGGAGTAAGATTCAGTTTCAGTGACTTTAGCCAGGATTTTACAACTTAGGAATCCAAAACTTTGCACGTATTCTAAAACTTAGAATACGTGCAAAGTTTTGAGATTTTGTTTAAATCTGAAAAAAATTGATTAGGCAGAAGTGGATAGCCATAATCGTTTAATACTGAGGCCTCCAAAGGTTGTTTTCATCAGGCTCTGCTTGGAGCATAGTCACAGCTCTAGAAATATTCCTTGAAAGTTGTGGAAGCTGGCCAGGATCAGAATCAGAAAATGCAAAAGTATCTGCCCACTAGCATATACGTTCATTAGGAGAGTAGGACACTTGCTACTTTGGTATTTATTAGCCCAGGCAAAGCAAACGCATGCTTTTTCCCCTTTAGTTCTTACAAAGTTAGTTAATAAAGGTAAAAGTAAAAGTGTTAGTTGCTCAGTCACTTTCGATTCTCTGGGAACCCATGGACCATAGCCTGCCAGTCTGTCTATGGAATTTTCTGGGAAAGAATACTAGAGTGGGTTGCCATTTCCTCCTCCAGGGGATCTTACCAACCAGGGGATCTTCCCAACCCAGGGATTGATCCTGGGTCTCCTGCATTGCACAAAGATACCTTACCATCTGAGTCACCAGGGAAGATCTTTCTTATAGATCAGGGAATTTTCACTTGCATTTGATTTTTTTTTTTCTTCTTGCTTTTTTTTTTGAGGGGGTGGTGCATATAGATTCCATAGCGTGTGCATGCTCAGTCATGATTGATTCTTTGCTATCCTGTGGACCGTAGCCTGCCAGGCTCCTCTTTCCATGGGATTTTCCAGGCAAGAATACTGGAGTGGGTTGCCATGCCCTCCTTCAGGGGATCTTCCCAGCCCATGGATTGAACCAGCCTCTCTTGTGTCTTACCTGCATTGGCAGGCAGATTGTTTACCACTGCACCGCCTGGGAAAC